AGTTATCAACTAACCAGCACACGCGGTCTTTATGGCAGTTGACTAATGATTCTCCTCACGCATCAACAAATGTGAGCTCTAGTTTATTTGAACATGTTAGTCACTGGGCTTACTGTTTTTTACTATAGTGTGTGACTATTGCCCATCCTGGAAGAAGCAACTTGAGATCTAGTGGGTGGCCTTCGGTCCTATGTTCGGCTGAAATTCAAATGCATGAAACAAATTCAACTTTTATCTTCGAAAACTTTTAGTGTTCCAATTAGGAATTCAAAGAAAGCAAAATTTTTGAAAGAATTCATCTGGTCTATACAGGTATTATAGTGGGACAATTACGCTCCATAAAATGACGTTACTGGGTCTCTGCCCGCGGCCCTAACGTACGAGGATTACTTAAAACAGATCAGTGAAATTTCAAAGGTAACGAGGTATATTTTAATAAAGTGGAAAATCCGACACAGGACTATAAACTAAATGCATATAAGTTTTCAAATACAGACATCCATATATCAAATAAAGATATATTCAGACATTACAAAGTGTAGTTTGTCACGCAGAAGTAGGCTGCCTTCTCGCAATCAGCTGCTACCGAGAAGCCTATCTACGCACACTTTTTCACTTCAGTCTTTGGCAGAGCGGTGCGGCGGCTGAAGAAAACTCAGCGTTTAAAGCGCGGCCAAGGCTGGCCCGTTACATGAACATTTCAAGCAAGGGACTATCAAGCAGGGGCCATACTTTCAAAACTCGCTAAGTTAACGTAACAACTTACGCTCTGTTTTCTTGTCTATGATTGGTGGATTTGGTTGAAAGGCCGTCAATGATTGGCTGATGAACTTACGATCTCTTAACTTTTTTTGAAAGTATGGTCACTGAACAACAAATTCGGCCCACTGGCCTGCTACAGTATCAAACTGAATTGGTCGTAACAGACCAACAAATTCGGTCCAACATAACTGTATAGAAATGAAACTATGGGGTGCCCACTAATAGCGAAGTGTAAATCATATCACCAACAAATATTTATATAATAAAAAATTATTCATGTGACGAATTAAGGGGTAGTTATGTCCCAAAACGTACAACATTTTTATTAACTAACCGAACTTTCTGAAACTTCATACCTACACATTTGTAAGACACTAATGCAAGAACATCTTGTTCACAGGAATCTTTCGAGAAAATGCAGGAAAACTTGAAATGTAAAGAAAACGGGGGAAAGGGGGACTCCTCTATTCATAAACGAACTACAACATCGAGAGACACATCATGGTTAGCTGAATGCGGGCACCGTATAAATGCTGTTTATAATAATAATAATAGCGGTTTCAGCGTTAAATAGGCGGTAGGCCTGTCGCCGATTCTTAACATCGCAGAACATTCACAGCTTGTTGCGGTCTCGAACGCGCAACTCACTGCTACAATTCTGCTGTGCTTAACCGCCCGGCCTCCTTCTCCTCATCTCACGATGTCCATCACAAATAACATGTGCATAAGCAACATCAACATAAACTCAGCGTCAGTGTAACTGGATCATAATTTCATTATAAACAACAACCTGCAGTCCCTAACCTAACTTTAGTATCCCCCCAGATAGTTTGACGAGGTTGACACAACTATGTCCCAATAGCATGGTCATCCTTACACGGAAAAGGCCTTGCAGTCCTTAAACCAATTTCAGGTCCTATTACCGGGTCAGCCCTGCTGAAAACAAAAATAACTTGGCACTCCTCGCCTAAACCCAGATTCCATCAGCTATGTCTGGACTGGAACTGAGGTCCCCAGTCACTACATTTACTAAAATAACCTGATGTCCAGTACTTCACCTGCCGTTAACCTGGCGGCCCCATTTGAATGCGGGAGGAACCCGTTAGGGTTTCACCGCGTCCGCAAGAGAAACCGTGCTGTACGCGCGAAAGGCGGCTTGGTCTTTCGTACTTGGGCACGAAAGACTGAGCCGCAAGGGGTTATTGTTGAGGCTTCATCAGAATCTACGTAGAACTTGGATTGCCGAGGTCGAAAATTATGAAAGATCAAACACCACAACATGTAACCCCAAAAAGTTGTAAAATAGTGCAAAAAAACAAGTTACATTAGACATTTTTTGAAAAATATTGACGTAATCGGAGTCACAATGAAGTATGATGCAACTTAATCAACAAGATTACCCATATTAAGCCAATTTCTGATCGAAAATCCAATCCTCGCAAAGAAAATCTCACAATCAGTATTACTAAAACCGTTCTATCTCAGAGTAAAATCGGAATTAAAAATAGATTAACACACACACAAATATTCTCCAGAAGACTACTCTACTTACCATCTATACAGCATAATGCAATAAAGAAGTTTCGGAACCGTAGCGCTAGATCTCGCGGAATGTGTGAAACTCATAGCACGTCATTTTAAACGACAAATTACGGCCGCTTTAGATGAGGCTGTGACGTGTGCTACCATCGTCGTATAGCTTTCAACGTGATAATGCTTTAGAAATAAACTCGAAAATGCTACGATTCTCCACTCAGAAGTTATTTTGAAATTAAGATGAGGGAAAAAACATAAAATCGCTAATATGGCATTCATTTTTTTCCGGAAGTATCAATAGCAAAAAAACAAAACCTACTTCAATATGTAGAGATCACTTGTGAGAAAGCGTTTGTAAAGTTTGAATCTCATCATGAAACGCGCAATTGAGATATGGACGAAAAACTGACATTTTTTGTGAAATTTGTACAATTTTGAAAGAAAAAGAAAATTTTATACCGTAAAAACGAAATATTTGGGATGAGTCATACATCAAAATGTTTGTCATTAATCAGACAATTAGTGTATGAAGTTTGGTCAAAAAGATAAGGGCAAAAAAAATCTAGGTGTAATACTGCGATTTTTTGCAAAAACTCGTCCATATTTTCGTGTTTCACAACATTTTTAAGATGAAAAAATTTTCGGCGCAAAACCTGCATAAGAAGTTGTAGATTTTACCATGCAAGGCAGTGAAAGAAGTTTCATCAGAATTTCAAAACAAAATCGCTCATGTCTCGGTGTTGTCGAGATATGAGCGAAAAACTAAAATCGTACCACCCATAACGTGATTTTCGAACATATGAGTATAAGTTGAGTAGACATCAATATCAAAACACGTACTGAGAGCGCGGATTAAAGCCAGGGAAACCACACTTCTACTAACAGCAGCAAAAAAGATACATTTACGACATTAATTCATCCTGCCAGTAACGGAATGGTTGAAAGGGTAAATCGAACCATCAAAATTTGTTGCAAAGTTTTTTCGTCATGCCAAAGCGAGATGACGCTCTACCACTCGCGGCAAAAACGTATAACGATATTTTTTATATGTTTAATTACAGACTACATAATCTAACGTACTTTTTTGTATAATAAACCATGATGACGTTGATGATCTTGCTGGCAGACTTGAAGGTCAATATTCCATCAAAATTAATATTGAATTATTTTAGTTGCTTATTTATATTCTAAACTCTAAAGAATATTTGCACGTCGAGACTAACGACTTCTGCGACCTCGACTGCCGGAGATAAACAATCGAACTTCATTGGTCCGAGAATTTCACTGCAATGCATTTGCCCCGAGTTATCAACTAACAAACACTCTCGGTCACTAAAGCAGTAGACTAATGTTTCTCCTCACGCATCAACAAATGTGAGCTTTAGTTCAGTTGAACGTTTTAGTCACTGTGCTCATTTAATATTCCTGAGAGTATTTGCTCGTTGATAAGCTAATGGTATCTGCGATTTCGACTGCCGGAGGAAGACAATCTAATTTCATTGGTCCTAGAATTTAAATGCAACGCATTTGTTCCGAGTTATCAACTAACAAACACACGCGGTCATTATGGCAGTTGTTTAATGATTCTCCTCGCGCATCAACTAATGTGAGCTTTAGTTCATTCAAACGTGTTAGTCACTGGGCTTACTGTTTTTGATGTGTATGACTATTGCCCATCCTGGCAGTGGTAACTTGAGTAACTAGTGGGTGGGTGTCGGTCCTTTGTTAGGCCGGAATGCAAATGCATGTAACAAATTTAACTTTTATTTTCAAAAACTTTTAGTGTTCTAATTAGGAATTCAAACAAAACAAAATTTTGGAAGGAATTCATCTTGGTCTACAGGTATTATAGCGGGACAATTACGCTCCATAAATGACGTTACTGGGTCTCTGCCAGCGGGCCCTTACATACGAGGGCTAAATGCATATAAGTTTTCAAATACAGACATCCATATGTTAAATACAGATATATACCGACATTACAAAGTGTAGATTTTCCCGCAGAAGTAGGCAACCTCCTCGCAATCAGCAGCTTCACGAGAAACCTATCTACGCAGACTTTCTCACTCCAGTCTTACTCTGAGACGTGCGGCGGCTGAAGAAAACTCAGCGTTTAAAGCGCGGCCAAGGCTGGCCCGCTACATGATTTACTGGTCGACGCTTATAAATAAATAGCTGGGTAAGTATGGAAAAATCCATATCGCCATCTCATTTGCGAGTGGAGTAAAGTCTATCCTAATTAGTGAAGAAATGCATAGGGAAGAGACCAGCCTGTTCGAAGCCTCTCGGGTCTCAATCAGGGCCTTAAAGTTCGGTTGGTCTGGCTGGCGCTGAAGTAAGAGCGGCTCACATCGTCGTGGCGCTTACAGTGTCAGAACATGACGATCGAAATTCAGGGCCTTTATCGAACAGCCTCGTTTCCGGTCGGAAGCAACAAGGGAGAATTCAGCGGGAAAACGATCAAGCGAACAAAAGAACTTTCAAAAGTTCGTTATTATATTCTATCATTCTTTAAAAACTTTGCATCATATGTGCCTAATCTTTATTCGATGACTGCACTGGTTGCAACCTTGAGTATAATTTATTATGAAAGCGGTGCGTGAAGGTTAGCTGCGAATTTATTCTTGATTCACCTGAACCAACAAACAGCAGGTATATAAAAATGCTCGCCTCATGCCAACACCTCAACAGTGAAACAGCACTCGGGCCCCAGGTATATCTTGTTTTGTCTTTCGGACCCAAAGTATAACTTGTTTTGTCTTTCGGACCCAAGCATATCCTGCTCTGGCTCTTTGACCCCCAGCAATTCCTCTTCTTTCCTTCGGACCCCAAACAGAAGATGAATCGAGGTCTCTTGCTTCTCGTCGTGGCCGCGACGTCAGTGTCGGCCCAGGGGTAAGCGTCGCGCGGTCACTGTATAGTTTATCACGCGCGGTCACTGTATAGTTTCTTCCCACGATGACGTTTGTGAATATTTTGCGTCGAAAGAATGCTGACCACGCTTCAGTATCTTATTGCAAAGCAAGGCAAACTTAATTTGAATGAATGTGCTTCCAACAAATTTTATGTTACCTCAAAGCAGTCTAAAATAAAAATACTAAATTTATGTTTTTGTTTCAGTGTTCTCTCTCCTTGCGGCCAGGCCGTATATTCGGAGTACAACAGTCAGGAGAGGGCAACTGGGACTTGCCCAATAAAATACTCGACGGCTATTTACTCATACAATATAAGTAAGAAAATAGACAAGCAACAAATTATTACGTTATTTGCGCGCACTTCATTCTACGCTAAAAGCTGCGTTTGAACAAGTTTCCTAATCCTTTCATCCTGAGGTAGATTGTCCCGCTCACACCCCAGCTTGGTCCCAAAATGACGACTCGCACGACACCATCCAACGCAAGGCTTCTGACACACCTTTTGTCGTTGAAAGCCACCATTTGCATCAAAAAATTTTGTGAACAGTAATTTTATTGGAAGCTACATACCATTTTTCCATTCTGCTGCATTATTGTTAGCTTATAAAATGAAGAAGAATAGCTTTGTACTGTTACTTTATTTAATTAACCCTCCCCCAACAGACCCAAACTGCCCCTGGCAAGAAGGCTCACCACCGTACAATGTCGAAGTCTGTGATCCAATTCTATTCGATTTCATGAAGTGTCGGTTAAATGCTACAGGACTTGTGAGTATTTCTGCGAGCTGATTATGAGTTTAGTGTTTCAAATTATTATTTATTTCAAGGTTGTTTGTTTGCAATAAAATGCTTTGGGCGTTAATCTTCTTCATACTCTGTTCGTCCAGTCCCTTTGTGGCTAAATGAACGCACCGGTCATTGGAGTGGGAATAAATGTGCATCAAAAGGAAAAATCGGATTATAATTTAATGATACGGACTAAATATGCATATATATATACTTTTTTCTCCAAAATGAGAACTGGTGTAAGATTATTCCCTATCCACCGCTCTACAATGAAACATGAATTTGAAACATTTGCAAAGAGCAGACGACTCGAGTTATCTCAAAGTGAATCGGATAGGTGCCTCCATGACAATTTATTTAAAGCGAATCTCAAATGTTTTGAAGCGAGTTAATAATTTTTACTTTTCTTCTGATACATGCTTGTGATTCAACCATTTTTTCCTCAGTGATATCGACACTTGTCTGCATGAGGCGTAACAATCTTGATTTGTCCGCAGTTTACATTTTCTGCTCCTACAATATATTCCTCCACATGAACCTCCAAATGGGAAAAAGGATTAATCTTTTCCTTGACTTCTTTTTATCCATTAACTCATCGTATCCTATCCTATCTTCAACAGCTTAAAGCCGACGGTTCTTTCAACGACGCGGCCTTCAAGAAGACAACGTTGCAGAACAAGTGCAGCTCGGACGCCAAGTTCTCAACCGCGTACCAGCCTTGCAGGGACTCTACCATGAAATACTTGAACGTAAGGAACGGTTATTTTGTTTATGATTTCTTTTGACATTCTTAATACCAACTTCAAATCGCTTTCGAACATATATATTTATTATCGAGGATATCAGAGCCTCAATGTAATGTATGGCGTGACTATACCTCTAACTCAAATCCATGCCTTCAGCGAGAGTACACTTTGTTGTATCCTCAAATGTTTGATGCTGATGTTTCATGTTGTTTTGAGAAACAATCTATAATGATGGGACCGGAATATAATCCACGAAATGCAAGAAGTTGAGTTTTCTTACCCTCTCAAGCCTAGGTTACCCATTACCCTCTTATGCCTTATTTACTCATAATCCTCTCAAGTATTGGTTTATCCTCTCGCTCTTTTTCCCTCTCGAGTGTTGGTTATCCCTTTACCCCTCAAGTGTTAGTTACCCCTATACCCCCTCAAGTGCTGCTTACCCCCATACCATCGCAGGCGTTTGTTACCCCTTTACCCCCAAGTGTCGGTTACACATTACCCTCTTAATTGCTGTTTACCCATTACCCTCTCAAGGGTTGTTTACTTCTAACCAGGGTATTGTTTAGACTTAAAACAATGGAAACTCACCCAACAGTTACAATATTAATTCTTAGCCGCCCGATATCAAAGCAGCAGGTAAATGAATATAAAATGGAAACTTTAGTTAATACAACATAACGCACGGTTTTACTAATGATGTATAGTTGTATATTGTTGTACTTATTGCATTTTTTATTGAGTTGTAAATTGACGCAATGGAATCGGCGACTGTAAAACAGTAGTCTATGTGTCGGAAAAATAATAAAGGTTTAAATGGGTATTAGTTTAAAGATCTTGTTTCTCAATTTGTTTATGTAAGAGTTAATCAACAAGATTACCCATACTAGGCCCATTTCTGATCGAAAATTCAATCCTCGTAATGGAAATCTCACAAACACTTTTAATTAAACCGTTCTATCTCAGAGTAAAATCGGAATTAAAAATAGATTAATACACAAAAGATGCTCTACTTACCATCTATACTACTACTTACCATCAGACTACTCTACTTACCATCTACACAGAATAATGCAATAAACCAGTTTCGGAACCGTAGCGCTAGATCTCGCGGAATGTGTGAAACTCGCAGCACGTCATTTTAAACGACAAATTACGGCCGCTTTAGAAGAGCCTGTAACCTGTGCTACCCATCGTCGTATATCTTTCAACGTGATAATGCTTTAGAAATAAACCCGAAATAGCTACGATTCTTCATTCAGAAATTATTTGAAATTACGATGAGAGAAAAAACGCAAAAATCGCGAATATGGCATTCATTTTTTCTGGAAATATCAATAGCCAAAAAACAAAACCTACTTCAATATGTAGAGATCACTAGTGAGAAAGCGTTTGTGAAGTTTGAACCTGATCATGAAACGCTCAATTGAGATATGGATGAATAACTGCCATTTTTGGTGAAATTTGATCAATTTTGAAAGAAAAACGAAAATTTTATACCGTAAAAAAGATATTTTTTTGGATGAGTCATATATCAAAATATTTGTCATCAACCAGACAGTTAGTGTATGAAGTTTGTTCCAAAAGATATTAGCGCAAAACTGCGATTTTTGCAAAAACTCGTCCAAATTTTCGTGTTTCACAACATTTTTAAGGTGAAACAATTTTCGGCGCAAAACCTGCATAAAAAGTTGTAGATTTTACCATGCAAGGCAGTGAAAAAAGTTTGAATAAAATCGGAGAAGGCGTTGCCGAGATATGAGAGAAAAACTAAAATGGTACCCCCCATAACGCGATTTTCGAACATATGAGTATAAGTTGTGTAGACATCAATATCAAAACACATACTGAGAGCGCGGATATAAGCCAAGGGATCCCCAATTTTACTAAAAGCAGCAATAAAACATACATTTACGACACTAATTCATCCTGCCAGTAACGGAGTTGCTGAAAGGGTTAATCGAACCATCAAAATTTGTTGCAAAGTTTTTTCGTCATGCCAAAGCGAGATGACGCTCTGCGATCGCGGCAAAAACGTAAAACGATATTTTTTACATGTTTAGTTACAGACTACATAATCTAACGCACTATGACATTGATGATCTTGCTGGCAGACTTGAAGGTTAATATTTCAATAAAATTAATATTGAATTATTTTAGTTGCTTATTTATATTCTAAACCCTAAAGAATATTTGCACGTCGAGGCTAACGACTTCTGCGACCTTGACTGCCGGAGATAAACAATCGAACTTCATTGGTCCGAGAATTTCACTACAATGCATTTGCCCAGAGTTATCAACTAACAAACACGCTTGGTCACTAAAGCAGTTGACTAATGTTTCTCCTCACGCATCAACAAATGTGAGCTTTAGTTCAGTTGAACGTTTTAGTCACTGTGCTCATTTAATATTCCTGAGAATATTTGCGCGTTGATATGCTAATGGTATCTGCGACCTCGACTGCCGGAGGAAGATAATATAAATTAATTGGTCCGAGAACTTCAATGCAATGCATTTGCCCTGAGTTATCAACTAACCAACACGCGTGGTCATTAAAGCAGTTGACTAATGTTTCTCCTCACGCATTAACGAATGTGAGCTCTAGTTCATTCGAACTTGTGAGGCACTGGGCTTAATAATTTCTGTTTGCGCTTCATATTCCTTCATTCTTTTCTTATTACTTATTCGTATCATCAATGATGAAACTATCGATATATCATCAAGTGCGATTCTCCGGATGTGGCACAGATCGCTAAGGTGCGAGAAATTCACTTTCCCTCACCGTCAATTTGTACTTATATTAGAGGTTACCACCATTAATTAAATTTTTTATGTAATTTATAGAATAAGTGGTATTGGAAATCCAGGTTCTAGAGCAGAGGGAGAAGGAGTCGGTGAGAGGAGTTGGTCAAAGCTGGAAGCTAGGTACGCCACCAAGTCCAGTCTCTGCAATTTCGTATTCCATATGCAATTTTTCCAATATTGTAAAAGTCTTCAGAGAGATTCATAATCCAGCAACACGGAGTATTATGCGGATATGGTAATTAGTCCCGCAGCTCTAATAAATCTACGTAAGTTTTGAGAAGATCTGGTCAAAAGGCCGGTTTTTGGATCTCCTCGAGCTAAACCAGTCACGGGAAGAACAAAAATCGCCACAGGCCATGGGCCCACTTCTTTACCGCCGACACTCGTATTCTTCTGTTAAGAGTTAGCCGGAGTATCGACAAAGCGACAAATGTTCAATGCACCACCAGTAGCTTGAAATTCTTTCCATTTTCCCTTTCAATATATTTCTTTCCCTTTTTAATATATTCCTTTTCCCTTTTCTATATTTCATTTTTAAATGTTTCTTTCCCTTTTCAATATATTTTGGTTCGTATGACTGACGCTTACTTTTCGTTTTATTAGTTTTCATGTCGTTTCTACATCTAATTTCCAAGTAATTTCTGCCTATATGTTGGCAGTTGGATGGCAGTTAGTGCTCAAATCTTCAACATAATTATAATTTAAAATTCAGATCTCAACGTGCCAATCAATTGTTTTGACATTTGTCAAGATTTATTATCTAAATCTATTAGTGTTTCTATACATGCGACGTGGCAAGCCATACCGTGCTATCAACTATAACTTGTTCAAACATAATCTCAAGTCTATTTCTTCGTTTCTACAGCATTAAAACCTTATACTATTCTTTCTGTCTCAACATCCAAATTCCCACCCCTAGTACTCATTTCCGTTAATTTACTGTATCGGATGCTAGTACCTTATTTGCAATGCAAGTACCAGATACACTCGAAAGAGTGTATACGAACTCTATACGAATTATCGCTTCAATTCATCTACGTTGTGTCCCTGCGTCTTTAGACGTAGAATCGCTGTTCACTAACGTTACTCTAATTCCAACATTTGACACGGTCTGGGATCCAGCATACGCCGACCCTAAAAATTAACACTCTTTGGAACTAACAAGACCAAGAAGCAACTTATAGACTGCATGGCTGCGTGGCCTTTCTTCCACGCGGATAGAACCCTATACCTATAAACGGATGAGGAAGTCCTATGGGTGTCATTCGTGCCAACTTCTACATGACCCAATTCAGAAACAAGATCTTTAAACTAATATTCACTTAAACCTTTATTTTTTCCGACACATAGACTACTGTTTTACAGTCGCCGATTCCGTTGCGTCCCTTTACAACATAATAATAAAATGCAATAAATACAACAATATACAACTATGCATCATTAGTAAAACCGTGCGTCATGTTGTATTAACTAAAGTTTCCATTTTATATTCATTTACCTGCTGCTATGATATCGGGCGGCTAAGAATTAACATTGTAACTGTTGGGTGAGTTTCCATTGTTTTAAGTTTAAACAATACCCAGGTTAGAAGTAAACAACAACCCTTGAGATGGTAATGGGTAACCTAGGCTTGGGAGGGTAAGGGGTAACTAACAATTGGGAGGGTAAGAAAAGTTAACTTCTTGCAGTTCATGGATTATATTCCGGTCCCATCATTATAGATTGTTTCTCAAAACACTTTCATGCAGCACGAACGCGTGGATAATATAGTCAAACTTTATTTAGATATCCATTCTTATATTAATGCTGATATCAGTCGTGTTCCGTATGAGTTCTGTCCGCCGTGTTCCGGGTGAGTTCTGTTTGCCGTGTTCCGTATGAGTTCTGTCCGCCGTGTTCCGGGTGAGTTC